ACGTGCGCATACGCAGAGGCATATTCCAGGGTGATTCGCTCAGCCCGATGTGGTTCTGTCTAGCCCTGAACCCACTGTCAGCACTGCTGAATAATTCCAAGTTCGGGTACAGACTCGATGTGAGTGAGCCTACCAGATTCAACCATCTGCTATATATGGATGACCTCAAACTATACGCCGAGTCAAGGCAACATCTTGCTTCTCTAGTGCGAACGACAAGTATATTCAGCAATGATATAGGAATGAAATTTGGGTTAGATAAGTGCGCCACTGTCACTATAAGGAAAGGTAACCTAACTCGTTTGGACGAAAATTTAGAAAACATCGCGCCTCTAGCAGAAGACCAACCGTATAAGTACCTGGGGATGCACCAAAGTAGGGGTGTGTGTCATTCTACCATGAAGTCAATCTATAGAGAAAAGTACATCTGTCGGCTTACAAAACTACTCAACACCAAATTAAACTCGCAGAATCTTTTCAAAGCAATCAACAGTTGGGCAATAAGTTCATTTACATATTCGTTCGATATTGTGAAATGGAGTAATACAGACCTTGAAGAGCTAGACAGAATCACTCGTGTAAAGCTCACAAAGTTCCATTGTCACCACCCAAAGGCATCAACCGAACGGCTGTACCTCCCTCGCGCACAAGGGGGCCGCGGATTGCTCAACATAACACAACTATGCAAGTCTCAGGTAGTCAAATTACAAAATTACTTTAATAACCATCTAAGTCCTAAGATAGCTGCTGTAGTGGAGGCAGATGACATTTACCCCTTTGAGCTTTCGGCAACCTCAAGCAAATACGGCTTCGGAATCGAATACTAGGAGGAGAGAATGCTGGGATGAGAAAATTCTCCATGGCCGTTACCCATGCCAACTGAGAGGTGACAACATAGATAAAGCTTTGTCATTCACCTATTTGAGAAAGGGATATCTAAATCCAACAACGGAAGGGTTCATAGCTGCCATCCAGGACAAAGTAATAAAAACAAAAAACTATGAAAAACATATTCTCAAATCCAACGTCCCAGATGAATGTAGGAAGTGCAACCAGGCGGGCGAAACCATCATAACCAAACATATTACTGGAGCTTGCCCTGCGTTGGCAGCTGGCGATTATTTGGGAAGACACAACCAGGTTGCAAAACAAATCCATTCACAGCTAGCTCGTAAACTTAACTTGGTACAATCTCCTCCGCCATATTACAAGCACACGCCTGAGCCAGTTCTGGAATCAAAAGATGTAATACTCTATTGGGATCGGCCATTTCTAACCGACAAAACTGTAGACTTTAACCGTCCCGATATTGTCCTGATAGACAAAAGCAACCAATATGCACATATAATTGAGGTTGGAATTCCGCTTACACACAACATCCTCAAGGTAGAGCGTGAAAAATTTGTTAAATACCAGAACCTGGCGATTGAAATGAAAAGGATTTGGAAGCTAAGGGAAGTGCAGATTGTACCCATTGTTATCTCTGTGGAAGGGGCTGTTACCAAACAAGTCTCCTCAAGCTTAAAGACCTTGGACCTTCCAAACGGCCTTCACATATTATTCCAAAAAGCCGTTATCTTACAAACGTGTCATATTGTGAGAAATGCACTTTCTCTGTAAAACTATCCTCCCCCTCAAAGATAGTACACCACCATACGTGAGAACTATGAGCATGAAAAAAAAATAATAATAATAATAATAAGGGTTGTAACTGCAAGTAATGTCACCATTCTTTGGAATCAGGCTATAATAACAGACCGAACAATTGCTGCCAACAAACCGGACATCGTTATTAGAGACCATAAAAGTAAGCTATGCACCATAATTGATGTTGCAGTACCATCAGATTACAACGTGAAAGACAAAGAGGCTGAAAAGTTTCTAAAGTACCGAGATTTGTCTATTGAGATAAACATACTGTGGCAAATGCGTACGCACATAGTACCAATTATAACAGGTTGCACAGGTGCCGTGTCTAAGAATTTTGACGCACATGTAAAGGCAATCTCAGGTACGTTAAACCCTTACCAACTTCAAACTGTAGCCATATCCGGTACAGCCCACATTATTAGAACGGTCATAACGTAGCGTCTAACATAAGGGGTAAGGCATTCCCCCGGTTTTGACGAAGAAAGTAATCCAGCCACCAACAATCCAGAGCTGAGAAATTTAAAAGAAATAATAATAGTAATAATAATGAATTTATGGGAAACGCAAGCACCTAGTGAGGTCACTATTGAAGGTTATCCCTTTGATGCTTGAAACGTCCGGGTTAAGCCAAAACACCTCGATTGACGGGAGTAACAAAGCCCTAAGGCTGCGCAAATAATAATAATCATAATCAAGCAATTACTGAAGAAGACAGATGCAAATATCTTGGTGTCTTACAGGCATCAGAACTACAAGGCCTAACAACAGACGCGTGACGTCACCACGAGTAGGCCGGTCGGCCGGCCGACAGCACGGCGTGCCGTACATCAGCGCTAGTGAATAATATATTATTGCAGCATATTTAATATACTCTACCTGATGTAAATAACAAATAATTCAGAAAAGTGTTTTTGGTACATGAAAGCAACTTGGTGGAAAATATTAAAGTAGTTATTAACTATTTTCACCCTGATTTTCACTGATATTTCATCCAACATTACGTGCACATTAGATTAATAAGTTGATGTTATAACAGCTTGCTAAAAATGATAAATTCTTCAATGAATAACCCCATGTTAGTCACAACCGATCAAAAAAATATCACAGGAATATGTGGACAATTTACTATTATTAGAGGTATAATATAATGCTACTTGAAAGTTATATAAAAAATGTAGTGCTTGTAGAACAGTTGTGTCCAGCAAGAACCAACGAGGAGGTCTGAGGTAAGCTCTTGCCAGGAAAGGAATAAGAAAGATGAGGAGGAAAAAGTGTAGGATAAATGGTAAGAAAAACAGATAAAATCAAAGTAAAATAAACAACAGAAAAAACATAACAAAGATTAACGAAAACTTAATAAAAACTCTTAAAAACAAATAACAGCACAAAATAATAACAAAAATTAGAAAACAGAAAACAAGTATCAAAAATAAAAAAAATTAGAATAACGAAAATTAAAGTGCTAAATTCTGAATATGTACAAATAAACATTTATCTACAGCTATGTAAATGTTGCGGCCTCATGTGAATGTAGTCAATTTACGGATGCGGATAAACAATGCTTGTTTTATTATCTGGAGAAAAATGTGCCATCGCTTTACTATTCAGAGCATTATTATCACTTACAACACACAAAATTTTATAACCAAGTTCTTCTAATCCAATAATAAGTTTTTTTGTCATATTGTATAATAGATTATGATCAATTTTAGAAACAGGACAGATTTGAACAACTTCTTTGAAATCGGAGTAGAAGCTTGAAATCATAAACACATAGGCTGTTGTAGCTAATGGAGTATTATTAATTGACGTTCCAACAATATTACCCCCTTTGAAATCTAAATATGGCTGAATGTGTATTTCATCCATCAATAAAATCATGTACTCCTCACCAGGTTTTACAAATCCGAAAAGGTTTTTTGCATAGCCTAAAAAGTTATATCTCTCATCGGGAACTGGATCGACCATCAATGTATTACATATTGACTTCAGAGTACTTTGGTGTGGTAAAATAAGTGCTCCATGGCTCCTAATAAATCTATATGAATGTGGACTGATTGTATACAACATAGAGCAAAACACTATTATTTCTGATGAGTAACTGTGTCTGTTATTCTGACTAATAGCAAGCTTTAGTTGCTCACAAATAAATTGAATGACAGTGTGGGTCTCTTCATCGGTGAATAGTTCTGTGCTATTTAAAATATTGTAAGCATGGCTGATAACGAGACACAACTATAAGTTTAAAACATCAATAATTTTCCGTTTACATAGCATTGAAAGATGAGGCTCAGAATGTGAGGTTAGTTGGCAAGGTTGCCACATCTTCCAATTTTGAATGGAATAGTAGACTTCACAAGTGACAGATTGAACGTAATATCGAAAATGTATTCTTGACATACTGAGGCAGATCAGAAAGAATAATCACATCATCACTGAAGCTGCGCAGGCCCCGAGTACATCGTACAAATTCGCCCACAGAGAGGTAGAACTAATTAGTAGAGATTTTGATACTGCTATATCAAACCTAGATATGACAACACCGCAGAGAAATGGTGGCGCGGTTCTCTTGCCAGCCAGTCATGGCGAAACCTTATAAGAACATGCATAGGCCTACTCTGCATGACGTCACAGGCTTTTCAGTGCCCAGTTGTTTGGCCTTGTACTCTCGGTGGTAACGGTTAAGCATGCCCTTCTAACAAAACTAAGCAGCAATAACATTATTCAAGCTTTGAACACTTGGGCTTTCCCTGTAATAATGTATACATTTGGTTTTATAAATTGGTCAACACCAATACTCAAAAAATTGATATTGATGTAAGAACAACACTAAGTACCATATTCATCACCCTAAGTCATCTATCTGTAGACTTTATCTCCCACGAAAAAAAGGTGGGAGATATGTTTAATCAGTCTTGAGACTATGTCAAGCGAACAAGATAAAGCTCTGCATCACTACTTTGAATCGTCAACCAACCCATTACCTAACGCAATTCGTATGATAGGAACGGATCATGTAATTTTCAAGAGCAGACCTAATTCATATACAGACAATAGCCACTCCACGGTAGATTTTTCGATGCCCTCAATAATGAATACATTGACCATGGGGCTTCTCTATTATACTTGTTTCCTGAAACAGAGGGTGCCTTACATGCTATCCAAGATCATCTGGTAGGGACACCAGAGCACACATCAAGAATATACAAAACCAACCGATTGACTCTGATAGATGTCGCCGATTCAATACTACAGCTGAATCAGTCCAACATGTTGTCTTTGGATGTCCTTCCCTAGCTCCAACGGAATACCTGCCGAGGCATAACATGGTCGTAAAAATATTACATAATATGTGTATCTGCAAAAACTACCTCATCTTGGAATATCTCAAGCCTGCATACAAATACGTCCCCTTGTTCAAACATGAATCGTCAAGTTTCATTATTTATTGGGATACAAGCGTATTGACCAGCACATCGATACATCACAACCGTCCCGACATACTAGTAATCGACAAAAGTAAAGAGATTGCTTATATCATAGATACTGCGGTAGCATTTGACGAAAATGTACAAAAAACTTACATCGAAAAAACAAATAAGTATGAACCGCTCTCACACGAGGTCCAACAACATACAAATTAAAGCAAACATTTATACTGACATTTATTGTTTCTGCCAACGGCCTCATCCACCAAAACTTCTACTCACAGTTTTGAAGCTTGACCTTAACTATTCATGGGAATGCCAGAAGGCCGTACCTGTAGAATAGTCAGGAAGTTCTTCAACTTACTTTGCCTATGGCTGACCTCGGGATTAATTTTCCTGTCAGTCAAGAATACCAGAATACCTGTGAAGCAAAAATAACTGCACTAAGCATTGCGTTGGCGAGACTTATAGTCAGCTATTCTTCCACCTGACCCCGTTCTTATGTAGATGAAAAATTACTGTTAGTATTAGAAATAGGAAAAACGAATTATGATGAATAATTAAATCTCTTTGATACCAACCAACGACCTTAGAACAAACTGTAATATAATTATGTATACATAGAAGCATGCGTTGCTAACAAATAATAATGAAAATGTAGCGTTTCATGTTTGCGAGAGAAGATTAGACTTTAATTTTGTTTTAATATTCTTGATTATCTCAAAAGTAATTTAAAACTGTATTATGTTTATATTGTCAGAGCTGCATCTAGTTACAGGAAGTATGGATGTGACGCAGATAGTAATATACGTTGATAGAAACATACAGGGTGGCGCATCGAAAACGAAACAGACGCATTTACTGGCAGCTCAGTTTTTTTTTTGGAAAAACGCTTAGACCCGTCGGGGGCACAAGTTTCGCAAAAAATCACGTTAACACGTGCAGCCCCCTGGTCGGGGGTGACACCAACCCTAAAATCTTAAATGCAAAGGGGGGTCGAGTGATACCTTATTTTAAAGGTCTTTCAATTCCCTTTATAATGATGTAAAATACATGAGCTTCAGTTCAGTAGTTCTGAAGATTTATTGATTTAAAGCTTAAAGTAGACTTTAATAGGTACATCAGATTAGTTTGTACTACTTTCAGAAGAAATTTGACTAAAAGAATTTACTTAATAAGTAAATGCTTTTTTTACTACGCCCATGGTTTGTTTATCATTTTGTTGTTGAAAATCGCTATTGGAGCGTTTTTTTGTGGCAAAAAAGTTATTTCTTGAAGGAAGATAAGGAAATATCTCGTACTTATCTTAAATAGGAATTTAGTACATAGTTTGCGATTGATTTGACCAAACTTTGTTGCTAAAATAACTTGTGACGCTTTATTACATAAATTAACCATGGTATATTCCACATCGGAAAGAGTTGAAATTATCGAAATATTTTTCGGAAATAATCAGTGCGCTAATAGAACAGCAGAAATATTTAATGAGCGACATGAGAACAGTAACGTGCATCGAAAATATGTTCTAGAACTTGAAATTTCGGGAAACTGGGTCAGTCGCCAATAAAAAACGCAACATTGAAAATCCCATAAGGAACGAAGCAATAGAAGTGGGGGTTTTAGGGCAAGTTTATGTAGATCCTACGTTGAGTACCCGCAAATTGGAGACTGTGTGTGGTGTTAGTCGACGTACTGTCCAACGGATTCTAAAGGCCCATAGGTTTCATCCGTATAAAATTCACCTGGTACAAGAACTTAATGAAGACGATTTTGATCATCGATTACAATTTTATGAAGATATGAGTGAACGAATTATAAACGATGAACATTTGCTTTTCCGACGAATGTTCCTTTTTCTTAAAAGGCGTAGTAAATCGTCATAACTGCCGATATTGGTCCGATTCTAATCCCAAAATTTATCATGAAGTTCATACACAGCAGCCACAAAAATTAAATGTTTGGGCTGGTATTTTTGGCGATCATTTAGTTGGTCCTTTTTTATTACCTGGGAATTTGACCGGTGAAATGTATTTGAAATTACTGGAAGACGCCATAGATCCTGCACTAACAGCCATAATTTAAAATCAGAATGATCGGCGGTACAGTGCGAATAGGTTGATGTTCCAACAGGATGGTGCCCCACCAAATTACGCATTACGTGTTCGACAATATTTAGATCAGACGTTTCCAGATCGATGGATTGGTAGAAGAGGTGCCATTGAATGGCCCCCAAGATCGCCAGATTTATCACCTTTGAATGTCTTTATGTGGGGTCATTTAAAAAGCAAAATCTATATGTATGCTACTCAGCCAACATCATTAGAAGACCTGCGACAAAGAATTGTGAATGAGTGGGAACGTCTTGAGCAAAATCTTTATTATTGCATGGAGAGTCATGGTGGCCATTTTCAACATTTCCTTGCCTAACGGGTCAGCTCATTCATCATTTTTGAATTAGTTTACTGCCAAATGTATTGATCTCTACTAATGATGATGTATTAGTTTTATTTAAGCTTTAAATCAATAAATCTTCAAAACTACTGAACTGAAGTACATTTTATATAATTATAAAGGGAATTCCTTTAAAATAAGGTATCACTCGACCGCCCTTTCCATTTGAGATTTTGGGGGTGGTGTCACCCCCGCCCAGGGGGCTGCACGTGTTAACGTGATTTTTTGCCAAACTTGTGTCCCCCTCGAAAACAAAATCGACGGGTCTGAGCGTTTTTCCAAAAAAAAACTGAGCTGCCAGTAAATGCGTCTGTTTCGTTTTCGATGCGCCACCCTGTATAACGGAATATTCAGATATATCATTATAGTTAACCATCTGCGGTAAGAATACGTATACGATATGTGATAAAATTTCCTCAAATTATTTGTGTACGTACTGCAGGTGTTTTGCATTGCCTTTTATTCGAATGAGTGAGACAGGGATCATAATTAAGTACTAACCCATACAAAATTTTTTCAAACATCTAGTCCTCATCGAAACGTAAGCCCAAGTTTTTGGTTCCTGGTTAAGGTATGCCTCCTTTATTGATTCTATTGTCAATTGTAGATTTAAGAAATTGTCTTGTTTTATTAATACGTAAAAGCAAGGCTTTACACTTCGATGGGTTGAATTTCAGATTGTGGAACTTGCAGTAGAGGCTAACATTTGTCAAATCTTCATTCATATGATTTTAAGCTTCAGAATAACTTGAGATTGGTAATGAATGAATGAATGAATCTTGAATTTTAGAGGCATCCCGGCCACCATAAGGAGCCAGTGCATAGGCCGCTTAAGCGGGCCCTTATGCACCTCTACAATACTTAAATCACAAGCCTCGCCCTTTTAGCGAAGTTGAGAATCGCCTTGAGTCCAAGCTCCTTTACGTCCTGAGGGTCCAAAGTAATGGACCCCAGTATAGTCTGCCTATAGTAGCTCAGAGCTTCACAGCGACACAAAACGTGCGCCGAGGTCTCTTCCTCTACTCCGCAGCGTTCGCACAAGGGATCCTCAGCCACCCCCATCACGTGCAGGTGCCGCCTTAACGTGTTATGGCCAGACAACAGTCCCACCAGCAACCTTAGGTTGGCTCTACCCAGAGATAGGCAGAAGCGTCCATCCTTAGCACTGGGCCCTTCAATGAGCTCTCGTGCCTGGCGGAGATGTCTAGAGATACTTCTCCATTTCTGAGAGTGTTGTCTTGCAACCCACGTCTCCATTTTCCTCCTAGCTTTATGCGCGGTTACTCCTAGAGCTGGCTCAGGACCAACGAGCTTGCTGGCTGATCCTGTTTTCGCCAGAGTGTCCGCCGTCTCATTGCCCCTTATCCCAGCGTGCCCCGGTACCCATATTAACGATACCGGATGCCTCGCTGCGAGGCAATCCAGAGCCTCCCTGCATTGCAATACAAGACTCGAAGTAATCTTACATGCACTTAGTGCTTTCATTGCAGCCTGGCTGTCGGATAAGATTGTTATTCTTCTCCTAGGCCCACCCTCCTCCAGAATGTGAGATACACAAGCCAGAATCGCAAAGATTTCCGCCTGGAAAATGGTGGTGTACTCACCGAGAGGCAGAGATAGCCTAGTTCTAGGTCCAGAGACCCCAGCACCTGAGCCCTCTTCGGTGACCGAGCCGTCCGTGTACCAGACCTGCCCGCTCACTTCGGAGAGTCCTCGGCTACCGGCGTCCCACTCCTCCCTCGTTGGGTACTCCACAATGAACTTGCGGTTGAAGCGATATTTAGGGGTAATACGATCACCCCTGCTTAGAAGGACGGGGTCCTCCCTTTCTAATTCGACTAATATGGCAGTATGCCCCTTGACCGGATTCAAGAAAGCCCAGCTGCCCTGACTCCACAGTCGATGAACGACTACTCTCGCTTCACCGCGGATCACCAGATCCAACGGTGGGAGATCCAACAGAGCTTCCATTGCACTCAATGGCGTTGTTCGCACTGCGCTTGTAATGCTAATACAGGCCAAACGCTGAATTTTATTGAGTTTGGCCTTAGTTGACTCAGTTCTAATGCAAGGCCACCAGACCAGGGAGCCGTACAAGAGAGATGGACGTACTATCGTCGTGTAAAGCTAGGCTATATGTTCAGGGCCAGATAAGACCTAGCCTCGAGTACTCCTCACATGTTTGGGGTGCTGCTGTCCCGACAGCATTATTCATGCTGGATGTCTTACTTCTTTTCAAACTCTGGATCAAGCCTACCGAAGCGACTGTCAGTCAAGTCCACCAGAGCCGTAGTAGTGTTATGGTTTTTTTATGGCTTATATTTGTTATCAAAGCTGTGACCATTTCAGGCAAAGCCATGTAACTAGGCCAGCTTTGCCCCTCACCGATTTTCATGACTCATTTCTTTTTAAACCCTCGATCGAACCTATGTGATCTTAAGACAGTCAGGAAGCCCGACCACCTCACCAAGTAGGTTTACCTCGTCACTATCATTGATTAACGTATCCTACGTGAATATAGCCAACTTCACTTCCAAAAAATTATGCGAGATAAAATGAGATGCCATGACGAAATCTATGAGAATTTGTCACAGCGATGTTACTTTAAGAATTTTGGTGTCCCATAGATGGCGCTGTAGTCAACTGTACGCTTGTGCATGGTGATAATTACGAATTATGGTTTATTTCTTGAAGATGGATTAATAAGGAGTCATTTTAGGTG